CTCTTTTTTTTGTGTTGATCCAACTTCTACTTAAATGCATCAAAGCTATTAACATTAACAACTATTAAATGTGTTTGTGAGTGCTCTATTCAAACCACACTCTGCGTAAAGATATTTTTTTCTGGATTCCCTATTGGATTTAGTAGAAGCCGTCTTCCATTTATGGTTTCCAGTTTTGGATTGCCACACAAGTGTAAGTTCTTCTTGAGAAAGGACCCCAGATGTTTTGGCTTTTCAGATTTGGAGTCATGTCCTTCATACTGAAATTTTCAAGAGTTCTGTGAGATAAGGCACTTTTCTTTTAAACTTGAGAGTTTGCGAGATGGAGGCCAATAACATTAGTGCTCAATTAGTGCACTTTCAGCAGTGCCAATGATCAAAGGTAAAAAATAAACCACAACTTGTTAATCACCAGCGGTCTGCTGTGATGCTTTACAGTGGCATTTCCGCATCTCTTTAGGTGCCTCCCCGTGGTTCCAGAGAAGAGATTGCTTCTGCAATCGATGCCACCAAAGAAGAAACCTAACTACTGTCCCAATTGTTATGGGATCTTGCCATGCACAAAATATTCTACCATGATCAGTTCAACAACACACCAAAAGTAATTCATTGTACCGTGCACTGTTGTGGGGACATTGCAAAGAAAAGCAGGAAGACACTAAATCAATGAACACTTTCTCTTATAACTGTTCACGTATCATTTGACTTGAGTTTGGTTCTGACTGTTCTGGCCTGTACTGATGGTCGTGGGGTATTTTACGCCATTGACACACTAATTGATTGCACTTTGCCAAGTTAACATTACAACTTGGTTAGTTTGAGACCTTCATTTTTGTAGAATGGGATTTCAACCATAAAAGCTACAATCTGGGGGCGAAAGATTGTCTGGATCCCACCAGGCATTTGACAAGTCAACAGAATAATAAGCAGGCTCCAGATGACCAGCACTGAGATGTGAATGTTTACACAGGGATTAAATGATGCTGACGAGAGCTGCCGACAATAGCATCTGCTAACTGTGCAGTTCTTAAAGGCACAATGACAAAACTAACTGAGCTCTGATTCAAACTAGGGTATTTCACCAGTTGCAAATGAAAATCTGTTTACAGAAAAGCAGGAATGGAGGAAATTCTAGATTATAATACTGCAGTGAGTTGAAATTTATATAGGGTGGATCTTTCCTAAAACCATAAATCATCATAGAATCCCTACAGTGTGGAAACAGGCCATTCAGACCAACAAGACCACACCACCCCTCCGAACAGCATCCCACCCAGACCCACCCCCCTACCCTTTCCCTGTAACCCTTCATTTCCCATGTCTAATGGGCAACTTAGCATGGCCAATCCATCTAACCTGCACATCTTTGGACTGTGGGAGGAAATGGGAACACCCGGAGGAAACCCACACAGACACGAGGAGAATGTGCAAACTCCACACAGACAGTCGCCCGAGGGTGGAATCAAACCTGGGTCCCTGGTGCTGTGAGGCAGCAGTACCAACCACTGAGCCACTGTGCTACCCTATATATTGCTTTCTCAAATGATAAAATACTGGGTGACACAATGCCTTACGATATTGGGCGATGTACTTTACTGTGGAGGGGCAGCTCAGATAGCACCCATGGGTGACCTGCGATTTGAGCTAGTGTGGCCAACTCTAGGACAGTTCATCATATGACCCCCTGTGTCCAGCTGTCCTGCCATTGGTTCAATGACATTTCATGACCCTATTGACCAAAAGTCTTTTCTTCTCATTATTTTGATTAAAAAAGGCAAACGTGTTCAAAGGAAGAAAAGAATAATTATAATGCTCCATTGGTCTTCTCACAGATTTCATGGGTAACTGTGTCCTTCAGTTTCCTGGAGACTCCAGACCAGTTCTGGAGGGTTACCAATCTCACTCCGAACCAACTTTCTGTTTTTGAACAGCTGGTGGGTGAGATCGGAGGCTACAATGTGATCTTGTCCACAGATAAATCCATATCAGGACACTTGTTAGCAACAGCTGCTTGAGTTACAACATCAGCTAATGCAAACAAGGGATTTAAAATGTTTCACATGAAGGTATAAACCTCCAAAGTCATACAACTATCATGCTCTGTGGTCAAATTCTCAGAGCTCCAGCCCTGTGGGACCAGCTTCACTCATGGACTGTAGTGGCTCACTGATGGCCCACCACCATCTTAAGAGTCACCGAGGATGGTCTCGTCTCTCCCTAACTCTGGAACCTCTTTCCTGGTGAAAGCCTCTGAGATTTTCATGCTCATCCAAAGCTTGTCACATTAATCTCTCCACTATTGGCAGCTGAGCCATCGGCTCCCTATGTCCTGAGCTTTAAACTCACCACTGCCCAAAAACCTTGCTTACCACTCCCTCTCCTCCTGTAAGAGAATCTTTAAAACTCACCTCTTTCACCAAACTTTTGCTCATCTGTCCTTATCCGATTAAGTGTCAAATCTTGTTGGCATTACTCCTGCGAAGAAGCTTGGGAACATTTCACTGCATCAGATACACTGCAATAGATGCCGGACCTGCCAATTACTTAACTTATTGGGTCATCAAGGACAATAAATTCTTATCGTTATTCATTCAGAACATGGACATCACTATCTGGGCCAGTATTTATTGCCCATCCCTAGCTGTCCTGGAGAAGGTGGTGGTAAAGCTGCCTTCTTGAACTGCAGTAGTCTGTGTGGTTTTGGTAAACCCGCGTGCAGTTGGAGAGGGAATTCCAGGATTTTGACCCAGTGACAGTGAAGGAACGGTGATATATTTCCAAGCCAAGGTGGTGAGTGACTTGGAGAGGAACTTGCAGGGGGTGGCATTCCCATGTATCTGCTGCCCTTGTCCTTCTAGATGGAAGTGGCCGTGGGTTTGGAAGGTGAGACAACAAGGTGCAGAGCTGGATGAACACAGCAGGCCAAGCAGTGCTGTCTGAGGATCTTTGGTGAATTTCTGCAGTGCATCTTGTAGATAGTACACACTGCTGCTCCTGAGTGTCGGTGGTGGACGGAGTAGATGCTTGTGAATGTGGTGCCAATCAAGCGGCTGCTTTATCCCAGATGGCATCAAGCCTCTTGAGTGTTGTTGGAGCTGCACCCATCCAGGCAAGGGGAGTATTCTACCACACTCCCGACTTGTGTCTTGTAGATGGTGGACAGGGTCTAGGGATTCAGGAGGTGAATTAGTCACTGCACTATTCCTGATCTCTGGCCTGCTCTTGGAGCCACAGTATTTATATGGCGGATCCTATTCAGAATGTCCAACCTGGCATTCCAATGTACGTGTATTGATGTTATGTTACTGCAGGAACTCAACAAACAACTATTGTCTGACTGCTAAGTCCTCACGAGCAATCAGCTGTTAATTGCCAGATGGGTAAAGAAAATGACTCACCATCTCGACAAATGGGTCAACACTTGGGCTGCTGCCACTGGTCTCGGACTAAGGTCAGGCACAGCCTGTGAGGCACTCTGTGGCTGAATACCCCACTAACGATAGCAATCCATGTTTACACACAAAGAACAGTCGCTTGTGGAGGCACGGTGTCTCCTGGCCGTCATGAAACTGCATCCCAAGAAAAGCCAACGTCTTCGGCACAGTCCACAACCCCAACTGGCTATTCATCTGTGGATGGCGCCACAGTTCAGTCTATGACACTAAACTAAACCCTCACTCTACCCTACCTTCCAGATGCAAAACATCAGTGTTAATCCCCCATAGTGAGCAAGTGGTTTGTGGGGGAGCTGATTATCATACAGTTACCAAATGTGCTGTGGCAGAAGGTTCAAATCCCACTCCAGAAGTTTCAGCAGATAATATAGGCTGATAATGCAGTGCTTTACATAGGACAAGTTGCATTGTTGGAGGTGCTGTCTTTCAGATGAGGCAGTAAATGAGGCCCCATCTGATCCTACAGAAGAGCATAAGAGATCTCCCTGAGACAGTCGGGAAAGACCAATATATAAGGCCTTTCAGTCATAGTGTGCTGAGTGGCTGGTAATTTACAGATCCCCTCAAGCTCTATGCTTGTCACTGAGTACATATCACATGCATTGCAGCTGGATCCTGATGAAGAGTGTAAACCCGAAATGGCGAGTTTCTTGCTCCTCCGATGCTGCCTGACCTGCTGTGTTTATCCAGCTCCACACTGTATCAACTTGCAACTGGACTGAAGTGTTGAAGAGTGCAAAATGCTCATTGAACAAAAGTTATATTTCAGCTGCAATGTCTGATATACGAGAGTTACCTCTGAGCCCCAAATGGGCAGGTCTCAACTTTCTTTATCAGTGAGAAGAGAAGACAATTAATCTTCTATAGATGAGCCAAAAGGAAATTTAATACCTGAAGATTGTCCAATTTGAAATATGTTGGAAAATGCTTTTTGATGTTTTATGAATAAAGCATATTTCTGCCAAGAGAAGAAAACGAAACCGTGCACTATTCAGGGAAGAGCAGAGGGTATCTCCCAATGTCCAGGACAATATTTTACAGAAGTCCAGAATTGTTGTGATGCAGACGGAGGCCATTCCGTCCATCAAACCTGCACCAGCTCTCTGAGCATTTTATTATTGTGCCAATCCCCTACATCTGCTCCTGTAACACTGCACGTTGCCTCGATTTAAATAATCATCCATAGCCCTCTTGTATGCCTCAAATAACCTGCATCACCATACCTCCAGGCTGCCCATTGCAGATGCTAACTACTCGCTGCATGAAAGTGTTTTTTTTTATTCCTCCATCCAACACCTAACTAAGATGACTTGGTCATTATCATATTGCTGTTGTGGGAGCTTGCTGTGTGCAAATTGGCTGCCTCATTCCCTACATTCTAACAGGGACTATAGTTCAAAACCATTTCATTGGCTCTGAAGCTGTTGCGAAAGGTGCTATACAAGTTCACCTTCCTATCAGAAGGCTGAAGGGATCAGGCACCTCTGACGGTTTAGCATCAGGAGCGTCTTCACTTGCCGTTGAGATGTTCACAGAGATACATACCGCATGAGCATAGGAGCTGTAGGTGTTGTTGAACTGCAGCGGGATCGGGTTGAACATCCCAAACTGACCCACCATGTGCTGCATGCGCCTCAGGGTGCGTTCCTTGTCTGTGTCGGCAAACTTCACCACGAGGCTGGAGGACGCCCCCTGGAAATACACATATACAAAAAAAACAGTCAACAACATAGATCAACTCACCCACCTTCCTGTCTCTATTGCATGAACTTGTCCACTGAATAACAGAGTCCAGCCGTTCATATCCAGTTAAACTCATTTGTTGATTGAGGGATACAGTTTGTTGTCTGACACCAGGGGACTGACTCTGCATGTGGTTGTGGAGTATAAAGTTGAGCACTCATTATGTAATGGTACTAAGGGATTAAATGCTTGTCCTGTGCTTAACAAAATTAGTTACTTTACAATCTGTGCCAAATATTAATGCAACTATTCACCCAATTATTCTTTAGGAATATCCTTCCTATAGCAGGAAGGCCAGAATTGCATGCAGTATTCCAAAAGTGGCCTAACCAATGTCCTGTACAGCCATGACACAACCTCCCAACTCCTATACTCAATGGGTTGAGAAATGATTTACAAGGATGTTGCCAGGTTTGGAGGGTTTGAGCTACAGGGAGAGGCTGAATAGGCTGGGGCTATTTTCCCTGGAGCGTCAGAGGCTGAGGGGTGACCTTATAGAGGTTTATAAAATCATGAGGGGCATGGATATGGTGAATGGACAAGGTCTTTTGCCCGGAGTGGGGGAGTCCAAAACTAGAGGGCATAGGTTTAAGGTGAGAGGAGAAGGATTTAAAAGGGACTTAAGGGGCAATTTTTTCACGCAGAGGGTGTTGCGTGTATGAAATGAGCTGCCAGAGGAAGTGATGGAGGCTGGTACGATTACAACATTTAAAAGGCATCAGGATGGGTATATGTGTAGGAAGGCTTTAGAGGGATATGGGCCAAATGCTGGCAAATGGGACTAGTTTTATTTAGGATGTCTGGTCAAGTTGGCCTGAAGTATCTGTTTCCGTGCTGCACAGCTGTATGACTCTATGACTCTATGACTCTATGAGGGATGTCTCAGGAGAGATAATGAGAAAAATACATTGAAACCTTTAAAGATACGTTGTCTTCACTGTAAGTAAATCTGATCAAGATCATGGTAAGATTTTAAAGTATTTCCCATTAAAATGAGATAAAAAGCCTCCCTCCAACTTTTCCTTAATGCCTTCACATTGTAATTCTTGTTAACACCTCACTCAGCAACCATTCTTCCTGTAGGAGTCTACAAATTGGGTGTGTGGCTGTGGGAGGAATAGCAAGCCAAGATCAATTTTTTAAAAATGCATTCTTTCAGAGGATTTGAAAGACACTAGCTGGGCTGGAATTTATTGTCCGTTCCTTGAGAAGGTGGTGGTGAACCATCGCACTCCATGCAAGTGCACTCTCGGTGCTGTCAGGAATGGAGTTCCTGGTTTTTGGCCCAACAGCAATGAAAGAATGATCTTATTGTTCCAGGTCAGGATGGTGTGAGGCTTGGAGGGGAACTTGTGGGTGTTAGTGTTCCTAAGTATCTTTCTCTTTTAAGAGGGTAGAGACTGTAGATTTGAAATATACTGTCTAAAGAACCTTAACAAGTGGCTCGGGTGCAATTTGCAGATGGTATGCACCGTGTGGAGGGAGTGTTTAAGGATTGACACACTTTGCAAGGAGGCATTTCCACTGTAAATTGTCCAATTGTCTAATGAGGTGGTGGTGGGGACAGCTGGAGAGGGTGGAGGCTTCAGCACCAACTTTAAGGGATCCTGGATTCTCAGCTTTCTGACCCACAGACTGCAATCAGTGAAGATAGACAACAGCACATCCTCCATGATAATCCTCAACACTAGCGCCCCGCAAGAATGCGTTCTCAGCCCCTACTGTACTCCTTGTACACCCACAACTGTGTAGCCAAATTCCGTATGAATGCCATCTACAAGTTGGCTGACAACACCACCGTGATAGGCCGGATATTGAACAGCAATGGGTCAGAATACAGGAAGGAGATAGAGAGCTTGGTGTCATGGTGCAATGATTACGAACTCTCTCTCAATGTCAGCAAAACAAAAGAACTAATCATTGACTTCAGGAAGAAAGGATGATGACTCACTCCTATCTACAACAACAGAGCTGAGTTGGAGATGGTCGAAAGTGTCAAGTTCCTAGGAGTGACAAGAACCAACAATCTGTCCTGGACTTCCCCACATAGACGAGATGGTCAAGAAGGCACAACAACGCCTCCTTCCTCAGGTAGCTCAGGAAATTTGGCATGTCCATAAGGACCCTCACCAACTTCTACAGATGCACAGTAGAATGCATTCCATCTGAGTGCATAACAGCCTGGTACGGCAACTGCTTTGCCCAGGACCATAAGAAACTACAGAAAGCTTTGTGCACAGCCCAGGCCATCATGGAAGCCAACCTCCCATCCATGGAATCCATCTACACTTCTCACTGCTGCAGAAAGGCTACCAACATCATCAAAGACCCCCTCCTACCCTAGTAATGCTCTCTTCCAACCTCTTCAATCAGGCAGAAGATACAGAGGCCTGAACACATGCAACAACAGGTTCAAGTACAGCGTGTTCCATGCTATTATTAGACAAGCTGAATGGACCTCTCTAATTTCAAGTAATTGTTAATGTTGCTAATGTTGATCTTGCTTTGTGCACCTCCTATACAGCCATAACCTTTGTCTAAGCACCCTATGATCCGTACGTCCTTGTTTGCTATGATCTGCTTTTACTATTCAGAAAACAAAGCTTTTCACTGTACTTAGGTACATGTGACTACAATAAATCAAATCAAATCAAATCATCGGCAGCTTAGAAGGTGGAGGGAGTGACTCAACTTGAGGACAAGAAGAAATTTCCTGCCAAGAAGAAATTTCAATTAACTGAGGTCAGGGGAGCAGTAAAGTGAACAAACCAGGCCAGAGTTTGAGCAGCTACTTAATTAGTGAATGTGTTGCCTGCTGGTGTGTGTCTTGGTATCTTTAGCAACCAATTACTGCTCAACAGTTGAGCTATTAAGCTGAACCCATTCATTTCAAAATATTATTCTTAGTCTTTTGGACTAATGTTCATCCCCTCTGTGGAAATAGCAAACTATTTAGATGTGCAGTGTAAGAATAACAAAGAACAAGTAAAGGACACTTTTAAATTTGCTTTACCACAGCGGAGCTATAGTTACCCTGTGCTTAATGGATTTTTTATGCCTTTAAATGATCAGTTTTAAGTTAAATGTGGGTTTTGTGCTCCTAGAATGCCTTGGACTGAGGGATACAGATGCTCAGGAACTGAACACCTTCTATGCCAAACCCTGAGTGCCATCATCAAACGCTGCAAGGTCATGTACCCAACCTCTACAGCACTTCCTAGATAAATGCGCCAGCTCTTATATTTCTTGGCACCTACCCTGAATGTTGTCATTCACAATTGCCAATCAGTGCCCCTGTCTTGGCTTGAATGAAAGATAACTGAATCACAGAATTGTTCCAGCTCAGAACAAGGCCATTCAGTCCATCCTACCTGCACCAGCTCTTCAAACGAGCATCATTACCTAGTGCTCATCTCCTGCTTTTCCCCCTGCACATCTGCACACGATTTCTATCCAAATAATCATCCAATGCACTCTGGAATGTTTCAATTGAACCTGCCTCCTCCACGTTTCCAGGCAGTGCATTCCATACCCTATGTGTGAAAAAGTTTATTCTCGCATCATCCTTGCTTCCTTTGCACATCACTTTAAATCTACACCCTCTCATTCTTGTCCCCTTTACAAGCAGGGACATTTCGCAAATCTCTCAACCTTCTTCTCTCCAAGTAGAACAGTCCCAACTTCTTCAAACTGCCCTCCTTTAGTTCGTAATGTCTTATCAATGTAAAAAGATCCATTTAGAAAGCACCAAACAAACTGGAATATATTTGATTACTTGTCTGTCAGCATCAGACAGTGTCACACTGTCGTTAATTTGGACAGAGAGCTTTATTAATTACGATAGATGTTAAACTGGCACCCAAAAAGGTTTGAATGTATTACTGTCTTGTGCAATCTGTTTGAGGTCACCATCCAGACCTCACACAATCACCTCCTGTGTCAGGCTAAGGGGCAGCAGAGACACAATGAAACTCACCGCCATTGTCTGACTGCCATGTAGTGCGTTAATGGCCGCCTGGGCTTCAGCGTGTGTGGAGAACTTCACAAATGCACAACCTGCAGAAATTAAATCAGGATGGGGGAGAGACAACAAAGGTAGAATTAGCACGTACAGCAGAGAGAGAGAGAGAGGCCATCCAGTCCAGATGGTCTTTGCTGGTACTTACATTCCACACAAGCCTCCCTGCAGCCAATTTCATCCAACTTCATCAGTGTTTCTTTCTATTCCTTCCTCCCTCATGTGTTTATCAAACTTCCCCTTAGGTTCTGCATGGTAGACTTATTAGTAAAGTTAGGTCACATGGGATTCAGGGTGATCTTGCCAATTGGATACATAATTGATTTAACGGCAGGAGGCAGAGACTGGGAGTGGAGGGCTGCTTTTCAGACTGAAGGGCTGTCACCTGTAGTATTTCACAGGGATCGGTTCTGGGTCCTTTGTTGTTTGTCATCTATATAAATGATTTGGATGAGAATGTAGAAGGCATGATTAGTAAGTTTGCAGACGACACCAGAATTGGTGGCATGGTAGACAGTGGAGAAGGTTTTCCAGGATTATAAAAGGATCTTCATCAAATGCGTCAATGTGCTAATGGAGTTCAATCTGGATAAATGTGAGATATTGCATTTTGGTACAACAAACAAGGGTAGGGCTTATACAATTAATAGTAAGGCCTTGGGTAGTATTGTAGAATAGAGGGACTTAGGGGTTCAGGTACATAATTCTTTGAAATTTGCATCACATATAGACAGGGTGATAAGAAAGGCATTTGCATGCTTGTCTTCATTGCTCAATCCTTTGAGTAAAGGAGTTGGGAAGTCATGTTGAGGTTGTACAGGACATCGGTGAGGCATCTTCCAGAATACTGTGTCCAATTCTGGTTGCCCAGTTATAGAAAGGATATTGTTAAGCTGGAGAGGGTTCAGAAAAGATTTACCAGGATATTGCCGGGTATGGAAGATTTGAGTCATAAAGACGGGCTGGGTAGGCTGGGGCTTTTTTCACTGGCGTGTAGGAGGTTGGGAGGTGACCTTATAGAAGTTTACAAAATAATGAGAGGTATAGATAGAGTTAATGGTAGTTGCCTTTTCCCTAGGATGGGGGATTTCAAGGCTAGGGGGCACATTTTTAAGGTGAGAGGAGAAAGATTTAAAAAAGACATGGGGGTAAATTTTTTACACAGAGGGTGGTTCACATGTGGAATGAACTTCTTGAGGAAGTGGTGGATGTGGGTACAATTACAATGTTTAAAAGACATTTGGATAAATGCATGAATAGATAAGGTTTGGAGGGATATGGGCCAGGAGCAGGCGGGGGGACTAGTTTATTTTGGGATTATGTTCAACATGGACTGGTTGGACCAAAGGGTCTGTTTCCGGTCTGTATGACTCTATGACTGTATGCATCGTTGCCATTTGCCTCAAATGGTCGCATATTCTACATTCTCTCCTGGGGAAAATAAGCTTCTCCTGAACTTGCCCTTCGATTTAGAAACTGTTTAATATTTATGGCCCAATTTTTGGTCTCTGCCATAAGTAGAAACCTCGTTTCAATGTCTCCCCGACTGAACTCCTTCAAGAGAACACAGATCTAATCTATTCAGTCTTTCCTGATAGCTACAAGTTCACAGTTCTAGTACCATTTCAAACTGAAACCACTAAATACTCAAAAACCCTGATGCCCCCATCCATGCTATTGATGGCTACTGACTCACCTTTGCTGTTGCCATCAGGTCCTCGTAAAACTGTGCATTCCTCTATGACACCAAAAGATTCAAAGAGTCTGTACACATCATCCTCTGTCTGTTGTTTGTTTAGCATGCCCACAAATAATTTTCTGTCTTCTGAAACAAAGAGATATATTATTTAGTATATTGCAGAACCTGCTGATCCGTATCTAGGAGTGGAGTTGTTTACAGCAAACTGTGGCTTTGTGTTAATTCTTTTTTGATCGTCAAGGTAAGAGGTATTTTTGGAGCATTTTGTCATTTTCAGGCCATTCAAACATTTCCTGATCATGCCCAGTACAGCCAAAGTGATCACCATGTCCCATCCCCCTCCACCCCAACCACCACCTCCATCTCTAGAACGCAAATCATAGAACAGAGTCATCACAGTAACAGCACAGAAGGAGGTTATTCAGCCTGTTGTGTCTGTGCAATTTGTTCTCAAGAGCAACTTGGCAAGTCCTACTCGCCTGTCGTTTCCCACAGCCCTGCAAACATTTTCTCTTTAAATAATTATCAACTTCCTTTTGCATGCCTTGATTGAAGCTGCCCCCACCACACTCTCAGCAGTGCATTCCACACCCCAACTATTCAAAACATAAAAAATGTTTTTCCTCATGTCACAATTGCTTCCTTTGCCAATCTCCTTAAAATTGGTGTCATCTGCTACTTGCCGATGAGTCATAGAGTCATAGAGGTATATAGCACAGAAACAGACCTTTTGGTTCAACTTGTCTATGCTGACCTGATATCCTAAATTAATCTAGCCCCATTTGCCAGCATTTGGCCCATATCCCCCTAAACCCTTCCTGTTCATATACCCATCCAGATGCCTTTTAAATATTGTAACTGTACCAGCCTCCACCTCTGGCAGCTTGTTTCATACACACACCACCCTCTGCTTGAAAATGTTGTCTGTTACGTCCTTTTTAAATCTTTCCCATCTCACCTTAAACCTATGCCCTCTAGTTTTGGACTCCCCTACCCCAGGGTAAAGGCCATGGCTATTCACCCTATCCATGCCCCTCATGGTTTTATAAACCTCTGTAAGGTCGACCCTCAATCTCCGACACTCTGGGGAAAATAGCCCCAGCCTATTCAGCCTCTCCCTATAGCTCAACCCTCCAACCCTGGCAACATCCTTGTAAATCTTTTCTGAATCCTTTCAAGTATCACAACATCCTTCCTATAGCAGGGAGAACAGAATTGCATGCAGTATTCCAACAGTGGCCTAACCAATATCCTGTACGGCCTTATGAGTACAGTTTTTTCCCCTATCTACTCCATCCAATCTCCTGACTCCCTTGTCCGCTCCGCACTCCCCTCCAGCCCCACCACACCCTGCACTTTTCCCTGCAACCGCAGGAAGTGCTACACCTGCCCCCATACCTCCTCCCTCACCCCCATCCCAGGCCCCAAGAAGACTTTCCACTCAAGCAGATGTTCACCTGCACATCTGCCAATGTGGTATACTGCATCCGCTGTACCCAGTGTGGCTTCCTCTACATCGGGGAAACCAAGCGGAGGCTCGGGGACCACTTTGCAGAACACCTACACTCGGTTCGCAATAAACAACTGCACCTCCCAGTCGCGAACCATTTCAACTACCCCTCCCATTCCTCAGACGACATGTCCATCCTGGGCCTCCTGCAGTGCCACAACGATGCCACCCGAAGGTTGCAGGAACAGCAACTCATATTCCGCTTGGGAACCCTGCAGCCCAATGGTATCAATGTGGATTTCATAAGCTTCAAAATCTCCCCTCTCCCTACCGCATCCCAAAACCAGTCCAGCTCGTCCCCGCCTCCCTAACCTGTTCTTCCTCCCACCTATCCCCTCCTCCCACCTCAAGCCGCACCCCCATCTCCTATCTACAATCCTCATCCCACCCCCTTGACCTGTCTGTCCTCCCTGGACTGACCTATCCCCTCCCTAACTCCCCACATACACTCACCTTTACTGGCTCCATCCCCGCCTCTTCGACCTGTTTGTTTCCTCTCCACCTATCCTCTCCTCTCTCCATCTTCTATCCGCCTCCCACTCTCTCCCTATTTATTTCAGAATCCCCTTCCCCTCCCCCATTTCTGATGAAGGGTCTAGGCCCGAAACGTCAGCCTTTCTGCTCCTATGATGCTGCCTGGCCTGCTGTGTTCATCCAGCTCTGCACCTTGTTGTCTCCATCCAATCTCCTCTTAGTTTTGAAAACCTCCAACCTTATTTCTCCTCAGTACCCAATATGGATCCTATCCAGACCTGTTGGCATTCTGTTTTGAGGACCACAAACTTTTTAAGCCCACTCTCTTTGTCTATTTAATCCAATGAAAACCTACCATCTCAGATAGGATTGGAACCACCATTCTGGTATTTACTGAATTGAAAAACTGTGTATAAAAGAGAACATTAGCACATAAGAAATAGGAGCATGAGGAAACCATTCAGCCCCAGCATTCAATAATCTGATCTGCTCAAGATAGAAGGAACATTTTTTCACACTGAGCAATAAATACCAAGAATCCAATACCCATGAAGGTAGTGGAAGCAGAGACTACCAATGATTTCAATAGAAAATTGGACGGATACTTCGAGCAAATAAACGTGCAGGGCTATGAGGATTAAGGAGTGGGTTGACTGCTCCAAGGAGACTGGGCTGAATGGACACCTTCTGTGCTGTTGTAAACATTACAAATTTATAAAAAGGACTTAAATAAGATGAACCATAACACTGATAACAAGCCCTTCCAAGAACACGAGAAATCGGAGCAGGGGTAAGCTGCATAGCCTATCAGACCAGCTCCACCACTCGATACTATCCCGTCTGATCTTAAGCCTCAGCTCCATCTTCCAGTCCATTCTCCATGTCCCTTGATTTCCCAAGAGACCAAGTATCTGTCTACCTCAGCCTTAAATATATTCAATGAGAGGAGCAAGCACAGCCCTCTGGGGTGGATAACTCTGAAGATTGACAACGTTTGAATGAAGAAATGTCCCCCCATTTCAATCCTGAATGATCGGCCCCTTATCCTGAGATTCTGGCAATAAGGGGCTGGATGATTTAGGAGGGAGGTAAAGAGAAAATTCCTTCACAGCAACCTAATGTCTACAAGAACAAAATAATGCAGCAAATGCGGCAATTGTTTTTCATTCTCTTCCAGTCGCCTTTTATCATCAGAAGTCCCAGTCACGATGAGCTAAGACTACTTGACACTGAAGACTGCGTCATTTCCATTCCAATGTCACTAATCTCAGGAGTCACAGTTAGGGCATGTCACTTAAATTTAAATTCTACCATTCCAAAGCAGATCACACACCCCATTAACAAGGATTGCAGTCTGGGATTGCACCCAGGAGGCTTTTAACTGAGAAATCTCAACAAACACCCACATTGCAGAGCGCGCCAAGGTTGAAAAGAGTTAAGAGACAAGGAAATAGATCAGGAAGTAATAATCAGGCAATGTCAATGTGAAGTTTAAAAAAGAGTTTTGAGATATTAAGAGGAAGGAAACACTGGGGGTCGAGCTTATGCTCCAGTGATCTCATAAACCAGCACCATCAATCAGCTCTCTGTTGAGCTTCCATGATAATCAATTTGCAGAGCAATTAAGGTAAAAAGCACAACTTATACATACATTAAAACAATTGCAAGAGATGATTCAGCGCTGCGAGAGGTAATGGAACTGAAAGAGGTTTAATACCATGTGAATTGAATGGAATAGGCTTTGGGACAAGATGACTCAAGTGAAATGATATCCATGTTACCATGAAACAGATTGCCACATGTTTCAAAAGATACTAATGTAAAATTGTATTTGACAGCAAAATACTATGATTCAACACTGTACTCAGTAACTCTATCAGCAACAGTGATCTCCATTGTAGTTTCCACCTGTACAATGTTTTGGTGGCTGGAAAATGCTGAAGGCCATTGCTCAGACACCTGCTCATAATGAGAAAAAAATTGTTTTCAGATTACACTGTAGAGCTTTATGAAAACAGTTGCAAGCTCTCCAGTGAAATCATTCTGCAACACACAAACAAAAACAGAATGAGAATTACCCAAAGTGGCTTTTTATCAGGTTATGGAGAAAGGGGCAGAGATGCAGGATTAATAAATACCGTGGCTACACATGCAGGTGAGAAGCTGAGTAACTCACCTCCTGACGCCCCCCAAAATCTGCCAACCATCTGCAACATATAAGTCAGGAATGCAACAGAATATGTGGATTGGCCATGTTAAATTGCTGATACTGTCCAAGGATGTGTTGGTTAGGTTGGTTAGCTATTGGCAACGTAGGGTTAAAGGGATAGAGCAGGGGTGTGTCTGGGTGGGACGCTCTTCAGACGGTCAGTGTGGACTCAATGGGCTGAATGGCCTGCTTCATCACCATAAGGATTCTATGATTCTATGAATATTCGTGAGTTACCTGGATTGGTGCAGCACTAACGACAGTCAAAGAGCTCGATACCATCCACGACAAAATAGCTTGCTTGATCAGCCCCCTATCCACCAGCATAAACATTCAGTCCCTCCACCACAGTGGTAGTTGTGTGCCTCATGTAAAAACTGCACTGCAGCAACTCTGCAAGACTCTACAACAGCACCACCCAATCCTACAGCATCTACCACCGAGAAGGGCAAGGACAGAAGATGTACAGGGGCATCTTGCCTACAAGTACCCCTCCAAGATACAAACACCCTGATTGGAACTATCTTGTCATTCCCTCGTTGTCACTGAGTCAAAAACCTGGAATTTTTTCCCATGTCATAACAATGGGTGCACTTACACCAAATAGACGAGCAATTCAAGAAGCCAGCTCACCACCACCTTCTCACTGACAATTCAGGTTGGGCAAGAAATGCTAGCCTTGTTTGCAATTCTTATATCTCATAAGCAAATAAATCGAATTGTATAGCTCTTCCTAAGAGCCAGCACAGGCACAATGGGCTGAACTGCCTTCTTCTACGCTATGTCATCTTATTATCCCCTTTTATATACATATGTGTTTTCCCATTTAGCAAACATTTAATGTCACTAAGACATGGTGGACTCAACGGCATTAAACTGCAACCTGAAATCCTCAAGATATGATCAAGATATAAAGGAAGGACAGGACTGGCA